GGTCCATCCCTTGTTTCATCTCGAGAACTCCTGATGGCCGATGCCATAAATTTCTTGATACACACTGAAGGATTTGGTTGCGTACTCTCGTCTATGATGGAAAACATCGTTCCAGATTGAAATGCCACGTTAACCTGTAAGTGCACATGGTAATAATTTTGCATGGTCATAATGTGTTTTGTTTTATAACCTTAAACGCTTGTAATGCATGTTCACAATTCATCCCATTAAGCAAGCATATGATCTTAAATGAAAATAGGCAAAAATTTACATGAAATCCTCTCTAGGATTTATATGATAGCATAGTGATGTCCTGTGGTACGTCTTGTACAAGGTTCCTTCCATGAGATTCCATGAGATATGGGCTGCATTCCTGTTAAGAGTTCAAGAAGTATTACACCAAGACTATAAACATTATTTTTCTCCATCAACTTCTGGGTCCAAAAGTATTCTGGATCGAGAAAACCCTGTTTGTAAGTAAGAACACATTTCAATACCGGGATATAGGAAAAAAGAAAGTGAAAAAAATAAATTGTTGTAAGAGAAACTAATCAACCTAAATATGCTGGCATAAAATTTTTCATCATCATACATGTAATACCCCCAAATCTAGATACCTAGATTTGTAACATTTAATTTATTCTAAAAATTATAAATGCGGATTTCTTTGACGTAATAAATATGAATGACCTCATTTGTGAAAATGAATTGTGCTTAATAAGAGTATAAGACTATTAATTTAAATGTTAACATTAATGTCAAAACGTATTCAATATTGAAATATGTTGGTACTGAGTTCGTGTCACCCTAAGTTATCGCCTTGTTCTTGCTTTCATCATCTGAAAATGGGGAGGAATAATGTGGAATGAGCTAACGCCCAGTAAGCAAACTTCAAGCATATGATACATGCTTATAATATGCACGACATACTTTAAAGTAAAAAGCATTTCTCAATCTGGGTGGAATGAGCTAACGCCCAGTAAGCAAACCTCAAGCATATGATGTATGCTAATGATATGCATGACTTACTTTCATATAAAAAGCATTTGTCAATATGTATCCTATTTCTTTCATTTTTTTAAAAAACTTAACATTGACGTAGTGAGCTCACTTGTTATATTGTCTAGCCAATCAAAAAGCAATGGGCAATTATTATTTGGAATCCGATCGAGTTCTATCGGTAGTATTGTAAAGCGGTTGACATTAACATTATCATTATCATTAAACATTGGTCGGGTGCGCGGTCTCTCATGCCCCATTTTCCATTCACACCTTTTTTGACACAGACATATACCTCATAATAACATATTTTGGATACATATCTTTAAAAATATTCCTTTAACTCATTGACATTTGGAAATTTTTATTCCTTGAAACTTTATGTATGCTTTATAGAAGCATTGATGTGTATAAGCCCTTGTTTGAGCCCCAATTTTTGAAAAAAAAATGTATTTTTGAATAGTATTTTGATCTCATTTCAACCACACATTTTTCAATAAAATAATATCACATGCAAATTCAAAATTTTTCCTTATTTTTTAACCACACATTTTTTTATCAATACACTATTCAAAAATACATTTTTGGGCAAAAATGAGGCTCATATGTAATGAAATATATTAATGACATAGAACATAATAATCAAATATCATGTTGACATAAGGGTAAATAAGATAACTTATCTATACATTTAACCTTATGACATACGCATGAATGAGTATGTCGAGAAGCATTAATGACATAAAATGCAATAATCGAATATAAAGTTCACATAATAACACATCAATACATTTAATGATTTAACGTACACATGAAGATAATAGGAGGTTCACTTACCCAAAGTCCTCGTGAGTACTTTTAGGTTGGCAAGTGGAGATGTCTTTAATTGCCTATTGCTCTATAAAGGAATATCTCTTAAATCAAGACAATGATCCTAAAATAGAGCAGCAAATCGAGAATCAAGCCTAGAATCAAAACCAAGAATCAAGTAGGCAATAATCATGCAGTCAGTTACACAATTTTCTGTAAATTAATAGGCATAATATCAGGAAGTTTACTAGAATAGCTGGTATGAAATCATGTATTTAAACGTATATGTTTTCATGTATTCTGTGTTATTGAAATACACAGTAACATTCAGAAAAGAAAAATCTCTGCACATTCAAACTCTATCATGGTATCAGAGCGATCCTCTAACGAGACTTCGATCCTCAATCCCACTCACAACCCATTCTCCCCAACAGATTCTCTGTTGATAGCCTTGAACATTTCGGCACAAATCAACGAGAAACTCACTCCCTCTACTTTTCCCCGCGTGCCCAATTCAAGGCCCTCCTCATTGGGTATAATCTCCTAGATTATGTTACTGGTGATCACCCCTACCCCAACCAAACTGGCACCCCCACATCTTCCCTCAACAAAACCCACTGGGTGAGGAAGGACAAACTCATCCTCTGCGCTATTCTGGCGTCCACAGCAACCACCATCACTTCGCTCATCTCTGTTGCTAAAACT